TGCACATTTGCAAAGCATTTCTTGTCTGCCTTTGCTTGGCTAGGAGGAACACATGATTCACTTCTTCCTAATACCTTGGGAGTTATATGTAACTAAGTTGTAACTGAGTGTTGGAATATCTAGTTAGTCTGGCTTGAGCTTTTGTCCTATTTTTGGAAACACTTTATTGATCTTTGTGCACCATAATATTTTGCATATTGTTCTCTGACTGAAAAAGGTTATTCTGGTTGCCTCTGTATGATTCAAGCAATAGTAGTTGTGGATAAGATGACATGCTTCTTTCTCAGGAGGAAAATCTGATATTATTTTAGATATGCGATTCTTTGTGCCTTCGGCATTCTCCATTGGCTCCATACAGCTTAACCTTTTCTAGTTTATAATTCCTAATACTTGTATGGCCTGTATTTACTAGATATCATCTCATATCACTTGCATGCTGAGATCTGTATCTTTATTGAATATCGCCCATACATATGGCAAATCTATAAACTAGACATGACTTAGTCCATTGCATTGGTGCATCATAGTCATAGATCTGTCGTTTTCGAATTTGCAGGTACCCAAACCCTTCATCATTTACATACGAAAGGCGCTTCTTTAGGCCTTTTGAGTATGCTCTACAGCCTCCACCTTGGTACAGCGATGAACATATAGCTTTGGATAAGCCTGAGCTTCCTCCTGGTGTATCAAAGATGACTGAATATGATGGACCACAGTGTTTCATAATTCCTGGAAACCATGGTTTGTAAACATTCTTGATATATTTAATAATATCTCATATTATTTTCTTTCTTGTGTACTTGGTCAATGATGTAAGGAATACAATGCATGTTTGTGTTTTGTTCCCTTCCCAATTTCTGATACTTTTTTTTATAATAGACTGGTTTGATGGGCTTCATACTTTTATGAGATATATATGTCATAAAAGCTGGTTAGGTGGATGGTTTCTGCCTCAGAAGAAGAGTTATTTTGCATTGCATCTTCCCAAGGGTTGGTGGATATTTGGTCTTGATTTATCTCTCCATGGCGATGTTGATGTGTACCAATTCAAGTTCTTCGCAGATGTTTGTCGGAATAAGGTGCATTTTTCTTCGCTTGATCATCCTTTTCTTTTAAACGAGGTTCATTTCCTTATTTTTGGGTTCACATGGGACAACATGCGTTAGTAATTGCTTCAAGTCTTCAACCATGTATGCCGGCTAATATTGGCTTGTACAGTAAACACAAAAAGAGTTGTTGCAAATTCTTTGTAGTCTTAGGCTGATAGGCTCTTAGCCCCTTTTGCTTTCTAGTTGGAAGGAATCCCTCTTACCTTTCCAGAATATCTCTTGGAACTTGGAATTTCCAGATTTAATTGATTGACTAAAGTACTAAAGCTGTGCAGGTTGGAGAGAATGATTCTGTGATTGTAGTAACACATGAGCCAAACTGGCTTCTTGATTGGTATTGGAACGAGACTACAGGCAAGAATGTATCACATTTGATTCAGGAATACCTGAAAGGAAGATGTAAACTTCGCATGGCAGGAGATTTACACCATTTTATGAGGCACTCTGCCACTCGATCAGAAAAAACTAATTTTGTGCAACACTTGCTTGTCAATGGATGTGGTGGTGCCTTTTTGCATCCAACACATGTTTTCAGAAACTTTGAGAGGTTCTCTGGAACCACCTATGAATGCAAGGCAGCTTATCCATCTTATGATGAGTCTAGTGGGGTATGTTTTTTTCCCCTATGTTGATGAAGTAATTCTTTCTTATTTAGTTCAGTGATCAGTTTAAGAAGCTTTTGTGTACTATACCATCAATTGTGAGATGAGCACGATATAATTTACTAAATTCACAGATTGCATTGGGTAACATATTGAAGTTCCGCAAAAAGAATTGGCAGTTTGACATCATTGGTGGTTTTATATACTTCATATTGGTGTTTTCAATGTTCCCGCAGGTTAGTTACAGATTCTCAAAATGGCCATTTTATTTTAATGATTATCCTTTGTCACACATTTGAATTAGTAGTAACTGTGGAGGTTAGTTGCTAATAGTAATCATGAGCTTCAGTTCCCTCTGATTTTTCTGAAATCAAAACCCGGAAGCATTGGAAGTCTCTGACTCTCTGCGCATATCCATTTTTTCATAGTAAAATTGTTCTCACTTTCATCTTAAAAAAACTGAGCTCCACTTCATTAAATGTTTCTCTAATAAATTGTCTAATCATCTCTTGAAGAATTTAGAACTTTGCCAAAACATCTGTAAAATTCATGTAACAAGATGAACAACCAACAACATCAAAGGGTTTCAACTCATCCAAGAAGGGCTAAATAACTGAGAATAGAGCAATTAGTCATCATCAGCTGGACTGTACCAGTCGGCCACCACTAGCAAATTTATTCCCAGATTTGTAAACTAATTAGTACTTGCATCTTTCTTGCTTCTGTGGCTGACCTCTGTTATGGATTTATTTTTATTTGCTTATTTCTGCCTTTTCTTTTTGAAGAATGTTACTAATTACTGTAAATCTTGAAGTATGTTCGTTGACCAAAAGTTAGCTGGTTGGTACTGGACATGTCATATTCTTTGTACCAGCCTCAGATTTGTATATCTTTTTTCTAAAAAAGATTTGTATTCATATTGCTACTATCACTTGGAAGGTCAAATTGACCAACATGTTGATTTGTATTCATATTCTTGTTTTTATTTCTATTTGTTCCAGTGTAATCTTGTTCATATCTTAAATGAAGAAACTTGGTCTGGGCGTCTGAAAAGCTTCTCAGGCACAATATGGAGTGCTTTGCTTTATATTTTTGAGCACTCTTATGTCTCTTCAGTAGGAAGTCTTACTTTACTGATGGCGTCATATTCATTCGTACCATCCAAACTATCAAGGAGGAGAAGAGCTATTATAGGCGGCCTCCATGTTTTGGCCCATTTAACTGCAGCGCTACTTTTAATGTTGCTGCTGGAGTTGGGCATTGAAATTTGTATTCGTAACCATTTATTGGCAACTTCAGGTATGCCATGCCATAGTGTGCTTCCTGAATTCTTATCATAGGTGATGGGTCAAAATCCAAGTGAAAGCTTTATTACAAATATTTTTTTTGGTAGGTTATCACACACTGTATGAATGGTATCGATCCATGGAAAGTGAGCATTTTCCAGATCCTACTGGTCTTCGTGCTCGTTTGGAGCAATGGACTCTGGGACTGTACCCAGCATGTATAAAATACCTTATGTCAGCCTTTGACGTCCCTGAGGTAATAAGATTTTTTTTGGAAATGTTACAGTGTGCTTGTCTGAACATTCCTTGAGGAATGGATCTGCAGTTGTAGAATTAACGATGATCTACTGTAAAAAAAATTTATATGTGGAATGGAAAACAACTAGTCATCTAACTTCACAAATTCAGAATTTAACTGTTTTGAAAATGTGATGCATTACACTACAGAAGATTAATTTTTCAAGATTTGGTGCATGTTACTGTCTCCTTTCCAGTCCATGTTTTGTAGATTTTATCAAGCATCTAACAGCTTATACCTTTGCTCAGGTCATGGCGGTGACAAGAATAAATATATGCAAGAACGGAATGATGTCACTTTCACGTAGTGTTCTGATCATGTACTATACTTCTGTGTTTATCTATTTCTGGATTTTCTCGACTCCAGTTGTTTCCCTCATATTTGGTAGCTACCTGTACATCTGCATCAACTGGTTCCACATACACTTTGACGAAGCCTTCTCATCACTGCGCATCGCAAACTACAAATCTTTCACAAGGTTTCATATTAAGAAGGATGGTGATCTGGAAATATTTACTCTTGCAGTTGACAAGGTAACAGATCAGCCTGCGTTCCTTTGCTCCCATCTACTCATAACTCTGTCGCCTTATGTAACTGCGCACTGGTAACAAAATGTTTCTTTGCTCTGCTGTGAATAAACAGGTCCCAAAGGGCTGGAAGTTGGATCCGAGGTGGGAATCAGAGGGAAGAGGGCCACATCAGCTCAGCCATGACCGGAAGCATCCAAGCAAGTGGAGGTCAGCCTCATCACCGGACCCTGTGAGATCTGTACGGGTTGTTGACCATTTCACCATTGAAAGAACAAGAACCCCAGATATGGAGCCTTCTTCCTGATTCTGCAGCCCTTGCTGTTCCAAGGAGTTGCTACTGCTAACTAGAAAAATTAACAATAACTAGCTTCATCACACACTGTTGTTTTTGTTTCTGATGATCCGATCCCACATCCAGCTGGACCTGGGTTATCCACCCTTGTCGGCGTCCCTGCTTTAGTGACCTCACCTGCAGCATTGTAATCTGTATGTATAGAAAGAAAATTCACCTGCTGCCTACTGCTTGTATTCATCAAAGGAATGTTAAAAAAAAGAACTGGAGTGTTACAGAAGGATGTTTTGAGAAAGCAAATGGATGAATCGATTCATCGATTTACTAAAGATTGGTTCTATTCTGATTTACTAAAGAACTGGAGTATTCATCAAAGGAATGTTAAAAAAAAGAACTGGAGTGTTACAGAAGGATGTTTTGAGAAAGCAAATGGTTGTTTTTTTATATAAGGGATCGCTTGTTGAGACATCCATCAGAACAGGCCGAAAGCTAGATAAAGATCCATCAAGGTGAGATCAAATGCTGGTTCCTTACTTGGGTGTCACTCCTAGTCTTTGGTAGGTACACTCATTTGTTCAAAGTTGCTGGGTGAGCAGAAGAAGCGGCTTCAGTTCTGCTGAAGTCGCCTTGTCTTCAGAAAGAAGCAGGTGTTCAATGCAAGGTCTTTTTGTATCTTGTCCAAGGTTAAAGCTAAAGCCCTGGCTGGGGAGAGGAAGCATATCATATTGAGCAAGCATATCATCATAGCATCGCATCTTTGCTTTGCTCATCAAGTGAGCAAGCATCTGATCTGATGATGATATGTCTTGCTACTGTTATATAAACCAAGCATGGGCAATCAATCAGTGACATTCATCTCCATCTATACGCTGCACAAAACAAAATGGCGAATCAGAGTGAGAGTGGAGAAGAGAGGTACAAGCTGCAGAAACTGCGCCCCGAAGTGGATGGTCTGTGCAACGATTACGACGCCCTGGTCGACAGTCCTCTGGATGAGAGGAAGGACCTGGATAATATCTTCGAGGTCCTCAAAGAGATCAGGATCAATATCTCACCGCCGCAGCAAGTCGATGGCAAGAAGGTAGACGACGACGGAGACAAGCTCCTTCCCCCGAGCAAGAGGGAGGAGCTGGGCAACCTGCTGCCCCTCATCAGGGCTGCACTGGAGCAACGCAGCAAGCGGCCGCGTGGGCAGCAGGACGCTGCAGAGAGCTCTGCCGGCGGTGCCGACGACAGCAAGCCGGCGTCGTCGGCGACGACCGGCTGCATCCCCTGCAAGCCCCGGGCGTCGAAGCAGCAGCAGCAAAGCAAGCAGGAGCAGGAAGAGAAAGAAGGCGTGTCACTGACGCTGCTGCTCCGGCTGACCAAGAACGTGCTGGAGCCGGAGCAGTACTACGAGTGGACGACCAGCTACGTGGACGAGGAGAGGATCTACGGGTGGAACAAGGAGGCCGGCGAGGTGATCGACGCCCTCGTGGCCCCCGATGGCTCGGAGCGGATGTTCCGGGCGGCGGGCATCGCGGGCATCCACGGCAGCGGCAAGACGGCGCTGGCGCAGAAGGTGTTCGTGCACGACAAGGCCAAGGACAACTTCGCGCTCCGCCTGTGGGTGTGCGTCGGCCCGCCGGACTCGGAGGACCGCTTCAACCTCCTCTACCGGATGCTCGACAACCTCGGCCTCGACACCGCCAAGGTTGAGGGGATCGTTGACAAATCCAACGTCGTCACAAAAGCCATCGAGAAGGAGACCGCTGCCGTCGACAAGGAACTCCGGGAGAAGGCGGCCAAGATGGTGGCCGCAGCCACCGCCAAGAAGGAGACGCCAAAGGAGGAGGAGGATCGCTTCTTGGAGCTGCTCAAGGAGAAGATCGACAACAGCCGTGCCGTCGAGACATCCAAAATCGGTAGGTGTATCGATCTTGCACATGGCAATTGAGTGGAAATATGGAACAATAACGCGACACACGATGACACGAACAGGTGTGCTGCTCTACATCCTGAACATGACCCTGTCCAAGACGTCGTACATGATCGTGTTCGACGACATCCGGGCGTACCGCCACGACGACGACGACGTGCACACACACGGGTGCTGGTACAGCAACCTGACGCTGCCGCCGCCGGCGGAGGGCGAGTGGGGGGACCGCCTCGCCTACGGCCTGCCCAAGGGGGAGCACAGGGGCGCCGTGCTCGTCACCTGCCGCAAGGAGGACGACGCCAAGATCATGGCGCGCACGGGCCTCGTGGTCCGCCCGCCCAAGCTGGAAGGGGACGACGCCTGGAAGCTCTTCAGGAGGGAGTACGACCAGGCCAAGGACGACAATCGAAAGGAGAAAGGCGGCAAGGTGGAGGAGGACCTGCTCCTCAAGCAGCTGGAGGAGATGAAGGTGGAGATCGTGAACAAGTGCCTCGGCCTGCCGGTGGCCATCATCGAGGCAGCCAGGGGCTTCGCAGGCCTGGACCCCTTGCCGGATCTGCCGGATGATACTAGTCAACGGAAACTGAAAGAAGCTGCGGCAGAAGTTAAACCTGCACCTGCAGCAGCAGCAGCAGCAGCCGCTGGGGGTCACACTCGCACACAGAGCAGCGAGGGCATCCATCAGGCTGAAGAACAAGTAGCAGCAGCTGGAGCAGAAGAGGCTGCTGATGAGTCTGAATGAAGATTAATACTAATACTTAACTGAACTCGTCATGCGTAGTGCATTTGCCGCGCGCATTGCTGTGATCTCTCTGTACGTGTGTCAGCATCTTCTTCCTGGTTGTGTGTCAGCTTACTATATCTACTGTTTTCTCCATCTCAAATTATAAGTCATTATAATTTTCTTAGAAAGTCTCAAGTTTAACTAAATTTATATAATAAAATAATAACACTTATGATATACCAAATAAGTATCATTATATTCTTTATTGATTATATATATTTTCGCAGTATATCTATTTGATATCATAAATCTTTGTAATATTTTTCTATAAATTTTGGTCAAACTTAAGACGTTTTGACACACAAAAAAGTTAGAATGACTTAATTTGAAATTGATGGAGTACGAGCCTAGTAGTACGAGGGCTTTTTGGAATTCGACCATTATGGAAAGTGGGCTTTGGTGATTTGCCATCTCGCAACGGGGCTTCGCCACCTAGCCATTACGAAACGTGACCCATCCGCGAGAATGCCATCCGATGACTTTGGGACCCTTTTCTTCCTCTTCTGCCCCTGTTGAAAGGTCCTTGTTTGGTTTTGGTAATTGAGTGACAACTTAGGTGGACTAATTGTGTTTATGTGAGATACACATGTGATTAGTCCACAGGTACATGTGTGTGAGCAACATATGCCATGAAGGTGAAAATGGCTTGGAGATGTTGCAAAGCTCATACATGTGATGATGAAGGAGCTTATTGCACGTGAGACATGACATTAAGTCATGTGATCAAGGTGGAGAAGATCAAGACAAGACTTGGCTTGATGGACCGGTTGCAAGCGTGAAGGGCAAGTCAGAGGCTTTGGAGTGATGGACTGCGTGGCGGTGAAGCTTGAGCAAGACTTGGCGCCGATGGACGATGACAACGGTGAAGAGCAAGTGAAGTCAAGATCGATGAACCAATATGATCACGTGATGATATGAAGTGGATCATATCATTGTTGATCATGTTGATGCATGTGTTGCATCGACGTTGGAGGAGATGGAATGAAATGCGCAAGGCAAAGATATAACTTAGGGCATTTCATTTCACCGGTCATAGGTGTGTAGAGAAGTTTATGATCGGATTTAGGATAGATTGCCGTACTATCAAGAGCAGCAAACTTGTTTGCATATCGGTCATCTAATGCCACTCGAGTGATCTAACTTTGCATCGTCGCTAGGATCGAGTGGCGTGGTAAGTTGAGTGGCTAACATCCTTTGGGAAATGATTGTGAAAATGCTAACACACATACACATGGTGGTGTACACTTGGTGAGGTTGGCACATTTACAAAGGAGATGATGTTGGAGTTGATGTGGATCAACTTGGCGAAGAAAAGGAGTGAGTCGCGCTGGTCAGAAAGTGACCGGACGTGTCCGATATGGTGACCGGACACGTCCGGTATTAACAGGCGAACTCAGCGTCTGGACGCGTCCGGTCGCCACACCGGACGTGTCCGGTGTGAATCTGCATGGTCGAAGTTCTATGAACGGTCGACCGGACGCTGGCTGCGTCCGGTCATGGGTGACCGGACGCGTTCGGTCGGACCTGGGTGCTTACTGGACTCGACCGGACGCAGCGGCTCTGCGTCCGATCATGTCTGCTTCTGCGTCTGGTGTGAGCGTTCGGTCGAACATGTCAGAGAGCCATTGTGGCAATGGCTAGCTTGAATGGGACACGTGGCGGTCAGGCGTTACCGGACATGTCCGGTATAGCGACCGGACGCGTCCGGTGCAGTGTCCGGTCAGCCCGAAAAACGGCCAGTGAAGGGGTAACGGCTAGTTTAACCTTTGGGGCTATAAATAGAAGTGGCCCTTGGCCATGGCTGGAGTGGAGCACCTGAGGGGACTTAGTGTCTATGCTTGTGAGTGCTTGGGAGCCCTCCATCACACATATACTCGATAGTGATCATTCAATTGTGTGAGTGAGCGATTCTAGTGCGATTGCATCGTGAGGTTGCATCGAGTGGCACTAGGTGATCGAGTTGCAAGCCGGTGATGCTTGTTACTCTTGGAGGTTGCCACCTCCTAGACGGCTTGGTGGTGGTCTCCGTCGAAGCCCGCAAGAAGCTTGTGCGGGGCTCCGGAGAAGAGCTTTGTGAGGGGCATTGTGCTCGCCCCGCGGGAGCCGCGAAGAGCAACTTTAGTAAAGCGTGTCATTGAGCTACCCTCACTTAAGGGGTAGGTTCTTGCGGCGCCCGACGTGCGGGCTCAGCGGGTGATGCTAATTAGCCGCCGAACCACCAAGTGAGCGATCGACACAACGGGGACTAGCGTGTTGGCAAACACGTGAACCTCGGGAGAAAAATCATCGTGTCAACCTTGTTCTTCCCATTGTTTGCTTCCCCATTACATAAGCTTGCATTTACTTTCATATATATTAAGCTTGTGTAGTTGCTCTTGTAATTAGTTTGCTTGTGTAGCATATTAGTTACCTTCTTGCTTGTGTAGCATAGAAGTAGCTCCCTTGCGTGGCTAATTTGGTTTGAGTAACCTTGTTAGTCACATTGCTTAGTTTGTGTAGCTAAGTATTTGCGCTCTCTAATTTGGCATTGGTTGCCTTGTTATTGAGCATTGCTAGTGAGCTTATGTGGCATTGTGCTTTTGCTTACTAGCATGTGTAGGAGCTCCCTTGTCGCTTAAAGTACTAGTGGCATAGGTTTGTGTGACCTTGCTCCTAGAATTGCTTAGGTGAGCTCTAGCTAGCCCGACACCTTAATTGCTTAATTAGTATATTTGAAAGGTGCTAAAGAACATAGATAGAGGGGTGTAGTCTTGGCTAGACCGATAGTTTTAATTCCGCACTTGTTTCGGTTAGCCGACGCGATTAAGTTTTAAAAAGGACTATTCACCCCCCTCTAGTCGCCATCTCGACCTTTCAAGTGGTATCAGAGACCGGTCTCTCATTTATGGTCTTCACCGACCCGAGAGGATGGCGCCTAATGGGCTAGATGGTTGTGAGAATCATATTTTCGATGGCACAAACTTTGCACTTTGGAAAAATCACATGCTTGATCTTTTTCGTGCAAAGGGACCTAAATTTTGGTGGGTTGTCACTAGTGGTCTCACCCATGTCTTGGATCATAGAACTCTAACCAAAGCTCAAAGAGTCCTCTATAAATTTGATGCACATGCTTGTTGTTTTCTATTGGATGCTTTACACTTTGATTTGATGAAGCAAGTAAACTACAAGGGCCGCTCATGAGATATGGGACTCCATCAAGGACACCTTCGATGATTCCTCCACATGGGATGATGGTAAATTCAAAAAGGAGGATGAGCCTAAGAAGGAGACACATGAGTGTGTTGAGCATAATCACAATTCGGTGAATGTGGAAGATTGCTCCACCTCATTGTCAAGTGAGGATGATGATGATCAATCCACTACAAGTTCACTTGACAAGGTTGATGATGATGCCACAAGTGTTGCAAGTGATGATGCTACCCCATGCACACTTGATGGTGATGATGATTCATGCTCGAGCCATGATGATAATACTACTACAAGCTCTCCATCTACATCACCACATTGCTTCATGTCACAAGGTGACACCAAGGTATCAAATGATAATATGGTTGATCATGTTGATTCATATGATGAGCTTGTTAGTAGACTTGCTAGCATGACCATGTCTTTAGAAAATGAGAAAGCTAAAACATTGAAGTTAGAAAATGAAAACTCATTTTGAAAAACTCTTGTGAAGAACATAAGAAATTACTTAATGCTTATAAATCTTCACTTGATGAGCTAAATTTGAATCATGAGACACTTCTTGCATCTCATGATGAATTATTAGAACAACATGCTTCTCTCATTAAAATGTTTACAAAGAAACTTAAAAGTAATGAGAGCTCATCACATGGATCAATTGATCAATCACATATTGTTGCTAACCCTTGTGATGTAGGCAAGAAGCATGTATCCACCTCTTGTGATGATTTATAAGATATGTCATGCTCTTCACATATAGATGCTTGTTCTACTTCTATGTCTTGTGAGACTAACCTTTTGAAGGAGAACAATGAGCTCAAAAATGAAGTGAAGAAATTGAGCAACAAGTTAGAGAGGTGCTACAACTCTCAAGTCACCTTTGAGCATATGTTGAAGACTCAAAAAAACTTTGGTGACAAGAGTAGAATCGGCTTCAAGACTAGCAAAGTCAATCATCAAGAAAGCCGAAATGACACAAGTGGCATTGGCTTCAACAAGAGCAAGATCAAGGGCAAAAGATGGGGCAAGAGAAGAGATGAAAGAGAGATGAAGAAGAAAGAACAAGAGAAGCTCTCTCATTTCATGTGCTTCAAGTGCCATGAAATGGGACATCTTGCAAATGGTTGCCCAATGAAGAAATGCTCAAGTTGAAGAAAGAAGAAGAGAGGCTAAGGCATGTTAAATGCTTCAAGTGCCGCACTTGGGGTCATCTTACCTCAATGTGCCCAACCAAGCAATTGGTGAAGCAACAAGTGAAGCCTCAGTCAAAGCCACAAGTTGAGCAAGAAAAGACACCCCAAGAATAAATCAAGATCAACCATGAAGATGGTGGTTACTTGATGATAAAGAAGAAGAAAACAAGAAGGGATGGAAAGGCAAGGCATTCAATGCAAACTCAAGATGCCAAGATGATGAGCAAGAATGAAGATGAGAAGAAAGATTATGCTCACATCAAGTGCTTCAAGTGTGGAAGTATGGGACACTTTGCCTCTAAGTGTCCTACCAAGCTTGAGAAGAAGGCTCAAGCAATCCATGAGAGGCAAGGCAATGAGAATCACCATATGAGCAAGGAAGAAAAGGCTCAATCAAAGAGAAAGTGCTACTCATGCCGGGAAAGGGGACACATGGCTCATTCATATCCCCTAGGTAACATTTCTAAGCCTATTTCAATTGTTGATGATAATGTGCTTAGAAAGGATGGCAATGGTACCTCATTGGTTGTAATTGCAAAACATCCAGCTATTCATACTAAGGCTATGCCTAAGTATGTT